CTTTTACTTCTCACCCAAGAAGACTGTGTTGGTGAATCTGAGACCAAATCACAGCCAGTTTCCTGGGTCCATGCTGATTCTCAGAGTGATTGCTCATGTATACAGTGTAAGGGTGGAAATTGATGGGGTAGAAATGTAAAATAAAGAATCTTCTGCCCTCACAGGTGAGTTATTTGGCTTTAAGACTGTTCCACAGATGACTCCCTCCTACTCCCTCCTACAAGCCAAGAAGTGCAGGGGGCCTCTTTCAGCATCCCTTATTTCTTGGTATGCAGATTTCCCATCTTAAGCTTTACTTTTGTAGAGTTCCAGCTGGTTCATGCCTGTGGATCTTCCTGGTGCTTACTATTACTCTTTTGCATACCCCAATGAGGGAGATTTTCCTTGTTCAAAACCATTTTGCTTAGTGTGTTTTGTTGGGGTTCATTAATTCTTTTATAAATTAAAAGTTAAATGTTTCTGAATTTCCCTTGATTTCTAGCTGTCTACTCTTTCTTACTACCCTCCCTTGCCTTTCCAAGGACTCATCTCTCACTACTGCCATGCACCTGATGTTTTGTTTTAGATTCATGAAAATACAGGAAAGTGTTGGGTATCTCTACCTTAAATCTTCAGGTCCTGGAATTTAAAACAAACTGAGAGAAAGAGCAACTCAGAAAATGACAAGTCAATGAGAAACAAAATGGAGTTCATTAGGTTAATAATTGGATTCTCCTTCAATTTAAGGTGAATACTTTACATGTTCTTCTTCAGACTTTGGAGCCACAGATAAAGGTGTTTGTTTTTATGAAGACCAAATTTTCATAATATAAAAGAGGAAGAAAGTCAGCAGAAGACATAGGTTAGTGAGAAAGTCAGAGGAAAATAATATTTTAGAATAATAAAAAATCTCTAACAAAGATAAAATGGGGAAGGAGTGTGCATTATTTCCATAGGAGGCTGGCTAAGGAGAGGAATTGTACAAATTCACCTTTTCTTTCTTCTGTACCAAATTTGAAGCTAGTGACTAGTGGGACACTCTCTCTACCCCCTACCCTTGCAAAAAAAAAAAAGAAAAAAGTGAACAAAATCTTTTTGGTTGGCCAGAGAAAATAGAAAAACTGACAAAGATTTAGTTAACATAATAATGTAAAAGAGAGGATATGGGATTAGGAATTAAAAAATATTAATGGAAGGCTAGCCATAGTGGCACATGCCTATAATTTCAGCTACATGGGAGACAGAGATGGGAGGATTTACATGGAAGACCAACATAGGCACAAACAGCTATCTAGGCTCTATCTCAAAACACAAGTTGGGTGTGGTGGTTCATGCCTGTAATCTCAGATACCTGGGAGATGGAGGTGAGAGGATCTTGGCACAAAGTAGGTTATATGAAAATAAACTAAAGTAAAAAGGGCTGGAGGCATGGCTCAAGTGGTCGGCAAGAGCTAAGCAAGCAAAATGTTGTGAGTTCAAAGTCCCAGTACCACCAAAGTATATGAATGGAAATCAAGACGTGAATACATACTAAATATGTAGCTGTAGGCAAGTCTGTGAAGCTATTTGCTCCTTATATTCCATATTTGTAACAAACAGATAATAGCAAATATGGGTAGTCTTATGTATCTCTTGGGAAAAATATGTACAGGGACTATATAAACAGTGATAGGTTCCATGATTTCATAATGATACTTGAAAAATGAATCATCTTCAGCAGATACTGAAAAACTAACTCAACATTTTTCAAAATTATTAATAAATAAAAATGACTCAAGCATTTATCTTGTTTTTCTATATCAAATATAATGCAGGGTGCTTTCATTAATGAAAATTTTTATTAAATTGTGCCTGTTGATAAATAAATAATGGAATTAGAATATCACCATTTTGTGCATAGTACAATGATGATGAAGGGTTGTTTAAAATCAGTAAGTGAAAAAACATGTGGGACTTTATAGTGAATAGATCACTGAAAACATCTGACCTAACTTTTACATCATGGAAAGAACCAGACATTATGTGCCTAATTGTCTGAGCAGTCAGAAGTATATACCATAATACAAAATTTCTTGTCAAAAGTCTAACCAGAGTCTGATCAAAATTCTATGTAGATCCACCTATTAACATACAACCACATTAAATACCACAGTTCTTGAATCAGCAAAATGCTGAATGTAGAAATTTTAAGGATACTAAATAACTAATTCTCTTAACAAAAGTCACGCCCAAACAGGAGGAAGCAGAACATTATGGCTTTAAAAAGACTTATGGGATATAACAACTAAACAACACAGGAAAAAATTTTAGATTTCTAACTCAAAACAACTGTGAAGAAAGTTGAAAGAATCAGAGAATTCAAACACCTAATATTTGTTGTTAACAAATTATAAATTTTTATTTACTTTTCTTGTGGTAATGTGTTTCATGAGTTCTTGTCTTTAAGAGATATTTAATTCCTAAGTTATTTATAAAAAATTTACTATCCAAGCTTTGTTTCAGAAAAAGATTGTGAAGTGGTGAGAGCATTGAAAAATAAATGACATGGGTCAAATGTGAGTAACTGTTGAAGCAGAGTGAAGGGTACATGGAGGTCCATTACACTATTCCCTACTTTTATATTTTATATGGGATTATTTTTCATGATATTGAATATTCTCTCTACAATCTCTTTTTGTCATTCATCTTACACATAGGCTGAACATTTTCTTTCTGTTATGCATATCCCAGAACTTCTTTTCATTCTGTGCTACAACCTCCTTCATTGACGTTTTGTGTAATTTCTCAGGTCTGTCTTCCAACTCATTCATTCTCTTTTAGTTATGTGTAATCTATTACTTACCATGTCCTACCCTGAATATATTTTTATTTCTAGAATCTCTTTCTTTCACACGTGTGCTCTGGTTTCTTTAGATTCTTTTTTGAATATTTTATTATTTTTTCAAAGACATTAACATTTTACAGTATCTATTACATCATTCTATTATATGGAATGCTTGGTGATCTAAGTCTGCTCCATGGAACACTACTGGTTTGTTTCTTCTGCCACCCCTTTCACTGACTCTAGATAAATTTTGATATTAATTTCTGAACTTGGAAATTTGCATGCCAGAAGGACAGTATTATTTGAATCCCCAAACCATATTTGGTGTAGACTTTGATCCAAAACTGCCACGGGAGATTTTTTCCCTTCAAAAAGGTCAGCAGTCCATGGAGCAACATATACCTTCTTATAAGTACTTACAATGTACAATTATTATAGTCCCAGGGACTCTGGGAGACTTGGATATCTGACCTTAAGGAAACTTAGCATCTTAGAAATTGGCACACTCTCCCCAAAGATTAATGATTCCAACAGCAATGGGACCACAGTTTATTTACCATCTCAAAAGATAAGAGTACCAGACTCTTAATGTACAGCCTCATGCTGTACATAAATATGTTGGTATGTACAGTACTGACGTCTATGTTGACATATGTTTTGATTGTGTTTATACAAGAACTTGAAGGAAATTTCTTTTACTGAAATGAAGGAATAAGCAAGAAATGAAGGAATAAGCAAGCATGACAATCAAAAAAAATGCCCATCCTTACATGAAGAGGGAAAATGCCTCATTTTTTGTTTAGAGTTCAGTTTTGCCATCTTAGGACACTACAGGCCAACAGAAGGTCAAAAGGTCACAAGTCTCTCTCCTTTCATAAGCCTCTTAGTCGACTTTAGTTTCCTCAGTTCTGGTGTTCTCAGGTCTACCTGCATCTTCCTATGCTCTTGGCATTAGTAGCACCCAAAATTTGGACAGGGTATAGTGAAATTTAGAACCAGGAGATCTCTACTCCCAGTCGTTACTCTGGTAAATAATTCATAAAACATAATCGAACCCTCAAGAGGATTTATTGTCAAAGAAAGATTGAGATTTTGATAATGGCTTAGACGTTGATTGATTATACACATATTGGTTCATATACCCTCAAAATTACAGCACAAAACTTTGGTTTCAGGATTAAGGCATTTGGAGAGGAAGCGTCCATTGCAGGTTTGATTTTTCTTCTTTCTATAAATGTTCCCTAAGTATGCAGCATTGGCGTATTTTAGGTTTTAAAGTGTTTTGTTTTGCATTTATTGTTATGCTGTTATAGATTTATCTTATATAAAGGGAAAAGTTGCCACAAAGAACTTAGGGGCTCATCTGACATTTGCTATTTTGAGCAGGTAACTTACAGAAAGTTGTCAGAAAAATCTCACATTCCTATGTGGTTATCTAAGGCATTGACCAGTCTGTGTGCATTTGTTTCACACTAATGATGTGCTAAGGGAAAAGGAAGACTTATAAATAACCACAGCCAATTCCTAAACATCTACCAGGTGTACAAGTGAAGATTTAGTGTTTACCTTCAAGACGTACAAACATGGTGGGAGAATTCATATTCAAAAGTACCGCAATAAACAGTATCCTAAATGACTGTGTAGCAGCATGATTTCCTGAGTGTGGACCCAATTATCTTTCTTCTCTTTTCCTCCTCTAACACATGGCAATAATAACCATCTTATTATACTTGGAAAATAAAAGAAAGAAAAATGTTTTAGTATATTCAGATGGATTGGCTTCAAACGGGGAGAAAAGTCGGCCTTTGCAAACAAGGACAACTTTGATATTCAATTTTCTTATAGAAAGCTATAATGTCAACAAAGGGGAAAGTTATGTTTGCAAATGAAAATCTTAGACATCGACCACTTGGCTAGCCAGAAACAGCCTAGGGGAAGCAACTAGCTGATGTAGGTGTAATGGGATTTGTAATGTTGCTCAATCAAGACTCTGCTTCTGTAGTTGATTCTCCACATCTTGCAAAAGACATTCGCAAGAAACTACATTCAGAAACGTCATATGGACATGGTTAAATGTGCCAAGTTTAAGTGAAGAAATAAACTTGCTTTAAATTTATTTATTGCTGGCCTCCCAACGTTTTCTATTTTTGTTCTCTTTAGTCTCTCAAAAGTTTCAGAGGAAAACTTGAGTCTCCAAATGGCTATAAGCAGAAACAAGCTGATATTACTGCTAGGAATGGTTTGTTTGGAACAAGGCGAATCTGCAGCCCTTTCTCTCCACAAAGGTAAGTTCCAAATGAATTCTATAACTGCCCTTGCCTGATAGAATCAACTTTGCTGGCAACGTCACAATCTGCACCACATTCCTTTGGGAAAATAGGAGAAGCAAGTCATTTTGGAAATCTAATTGTTTTTCAAGAAATTATTTTGGACTTGGCTCCTGCAATCAGCATATGAAATGGGGTGAAATATTTATAGAATGAAACTATGTTTTTTCACCTAGCTTTACTCACTGATTTTGGATTGTTCACTTATTTGGACACATTGCACAACTCAACCTTCTTTCATGGAGCAAATTCTGGAAGTAGTATAGGTTTGGAAGCATTTGTAATCTTTCAGAAAGTTATATTGCTGGAAAATATGAAGTATGTTTACTGTGATATATTGTAAAAACTCTTTTATCCTGAAAACGATTCTTGGCAGTCTTCTCTGTGAATGAACAAGTATGTTTTCTGTCTTTGGTTCAGTGACTTCAGGTAGGGCTAGCCACAAGTCTAATCAATCTGAGCCAGTATGTTTTCTGTCTTTGCTTCAGTGACTTCAGGAAGTAGTAAAAATTATGTCTGCAGTATTTATGACTCATTCAGATGAAGCAGCTAGAAAATAGGCTTTTATTCCATCTCATTTCTTCACTGGGTTCATTCTCTGCCATTATTCAGCTGTTCATTTCTTTGATTCTTAAATTTCTCATGTATAATGTGAGGATTCATTGACATGAGGTAGAGATTAAACAAGAAGTCATACGACAGAGGTTTGCATAGTTTAACATATAGATCTAAACAGTTATGCTCTTGGGGATATGGCCTAAAGAAAAACCACCTGATCATTCAACATTTCCAGGTGCCTACTGAATATTGAGAATTGTACTAAACCTTAGAAATGTTTTTTTTTTCCTCAAGAGGTTCATAGTCCAATGACAGAAGCAACAATTCACTATCACAGTACAGCATGGCAGAATTCAGTGGGGTGAGGGGTGCCACACTACACAGGGGAGAGACTGTAATCCAGTTGGAAAAAGTCAAGGAAGATTTCACAGGTGAGGTGCTCTCCAAGCTGAAGAATAAGGATTACAGCATTAGGCAAAGAAGTAAGCAATTAAGAGACAGAGCCTTCTAAACCCTCTTTTAAAAAATATGTGGAGAAGAACAACCTGCAGGAGGAACACAGGATGTGTCACCCTTGAATTATCTGGTAGAGGTAAACATCTTTAATATAGCCTATCTTAGCTGAAGAGAAATGCATTGAGGGCAAATAAGCAAATGCAGCTTGTTCAGTGATAGTCTTTCTCCATGAAGAGGAAGGAGTTCCATTTTCTATTAGCTGCCAGCCTCCTATCATAACACTGTGATGTAAATCAGAACACTGTCTTCACTCCAGTCTCCTTGAACAACATATAATTTCCATCCCTACATAAAATTAAACCCAGCATGATTTGTTAATATCTACTTATATGGCAGACAGCAAAGACTGTGGCCTCAGACTCCACCTATGGAGTGGAGCATAGAAGATCTGCCCACAACTGCAATCTAAGGCAGACTATGGCATTGCCATCAAATTATTTGAACAGCTCTGTACACCAGGAACTGTGATTCGCAGTGTGCATGTAAGTTTTTTTTAAGATTAAGATCTTGTCTCTAAGGAGCCCATGGTCTAATTGGGTTGAAAGACAGAAATAGACACAATGGCATGTGTCAAAAGTCACAGGCAAGTACAGAGCACTGTACTCTTATTAGGAATCTCTTTGCATTCCTAATAAGACAGTGGAAATCTATTCTAGAAGCCTTTAATATTCACAGCAGAAAAGTCCATCTCTTGATAATATACATCCTCTTCTTGACAAAACCTGAGAAATCCATTGCAGTGCAAACCACAGCAAATCTCAACAACTAGCTTAAAACTATTTTGTGATGTTTTTTCTACATGCTCTGTGTCCTTCAGTTTTTATTTTTTGCTGTATCTTTTATTCCTAGAAACTATCTACTCACTCAATATTGTCTTGCTTTTTCCCAGCTCCTAATTGTGGGCAAAGTCTAGTTAAGGTATGGCCTTGGAAATACTTTAGCCTTTACAGTCGCATTGTCGGGGGAAGCCAAGTAGAAAAAGGATCCTATCCCTGGCAGGTAAGTCTCAGGAAACATTCTGTGGTGGGTGGGTTGTGAGATGTCTCAGGATTGGATCTCCCGTATCACATGCTACTTACCAGTGCTCCACTCTACCTCCATCTTCACAAACAACCTCATGAGTGCGTACAAAGATCTAGGTTCCTTGTGATGCATATTAAATTGAGTTCTAGAAAAGGGTTTTTGATAATAGTTACATATATGGTTGACTTGCATCACAAAATTGAAATGCCATCAAAAACTTCCAACCCTCTACTTCAAGAAGCTAAAATTCTTCTGAATTTGCTATTCAAAAACTAATGTTTTGGTTCATTAAGTGTATTTAATTTTTTTATATTTAAAGAAGAACAGAAAATTCATATCCCCAACACACTTTGAGTACAAGGTATAAAGTTTTCACCTGTACCACAGGACCCCTCATAGAATATCCAAGTGTTTACCTCCTTAGTAGCTAATGTTCTAAGCTTCTGCCTTAATATAATTGTCTAGTCCACCTATGGTATGGAAAAACCTTTATGCCTCTTGCTCTACTCCATGGTGTTTTGTCGTCTGTGAAAGTCTCCCAATTTTCCTTCTTTATTCTTCTTCTTTTTTTTTTTTTGAAACAGTGTCTTGTTATATAGTACAGACTGGCCTCTAACTTGTGATCCTCTTGCCTCAGCCTCCTGGGTATTGGGATTACAGGTATGTACCTCTTGCCTCAGCCTCCTGGGTATTGGGATTACAGGTATGTACCACCATGCCTGGCTTTGATACTCGAGTTTGAACTCAGAACCTCATACTTGCTAGGCGGGTGCTCTGCTACTTGAGCCATGTCCGCAGTCCAGTACATCTCCTGATTTTCTTTACCCTGGGATCCAGGTTGAATTCTTACTTTTTGGCACACAGAGAAATACTTCTTTGTTTTTATTTTTCTTGAATCAACCATTAAATCTTAGGTAAGTGATTAATTATTAATAGTTGTGTTAAGTAGTTTTATTTCACTGCAAGTAAATAAATACCTAAGAAAAGCAACTTAAGAGCGGGAAATTTATTTTGGCTCACAGTTTCAGAGGGCTCAGTCCAAGGTCACTTGGTTGCTTGTTTCTGGGTCCATGGTGAGTCAAAACATCATGGCAGGGGGAGTGTGTGACAAAAGCTGTTCATTTCATGATGGACAAAATGCAGAAAAAGAAAATGCCTCTGCTGGCTGGCTCTCTCCTTTCCCCCTTTTATTCTATCAGGGCCCTCAGCATATGGGAGAGTGCTGCCCACATTAAGGGTGTGCCTTCATGGTCACATCCAGAGGTGTGCTTTATACTAGGTTCTTCTCAACCCAATCAAGTTCATAATTAAGATTGTCAGAATTTCATATTCCAAATCATAGTAAGGATAACTCATTTATTTTTGTTCTATTAGCTGCTTCTCCCTGACTTATTTTGTTTTTTGCTTTTTGTCTTGATACTAGGGATCAAACCCAGATACTCATAAATGCTAACCATGCACTCTAACACTGAGTGTTAGAAATGTTTTCTATACCCTTCTGTATTACATTTTTTTTCATTTTTGATTGCACATTAAATAATTTTTGGTTAAAAAGTGGATAATTGTCATAAATTGCCTTTTTTTTTCTAATTCCAAAAATGTGAAGATATTCATTGAAAGTATTTACTTGCATACTGTAAGCCATTTTAGAATAAAATCAAACATTATGACCAGGATAAACCAAAGGTAGAAAGTATGTTGAAGAGGCAGAACAAAGAACAGGCTTGGAGAAGTTTTAGGAATCAAATAGTTCATTAAAAGTATGAGAAAATGGTAGTCCAAACTATTTCTCTAAGTGGCTTGGAGAAATTAGAGAATGTGTTTAAAGGTTCCATAAACCTATAAAGCAGGACTTGACTACATATTCTACTCCTTTTTCTTCATTCACAGATATTGTGCGTATTGCTAGAGTCACAGAACTGAGTCAACAGTATTCTAAAAATAAATAAATACCAATCCTTCCAATTGCCAACTCTACTAAAACCATTATGACCAATCATCTAAAATGACAATCTCTGGTCAGCCCAAGGCTAAGAATTGTCTGTTTCCAGCACTGGTCTTTTTTCTGAGTTGCAGTGTATGGATTTTGCCTTGTCACATCCGTAAGTCATGATAGTTAAGAGTAAGACATCTAGGTCTGTTTTAAAAGCATGCCCAGTCAGCAGTTTTCAGGGCATCCCAGGGCACTAACTTGTACCCACTTAAGGTCTTTGCAATCCAGGTGTCTCTGAAACAAAAGCACAAGCACATCTGTGGAGGAACCATCATCTCTCAACGGTGGGTTATCACAGCTGCTCACTGCGTGGCAAACAGGTAGGGAACGACGAGAAAACAGGTCATGGGTGAAGATCAGGTCGCTCCCTCATGTCCCTCGGAATCAACAGCAATAACTCAATTAAAACACGGGGGAGTATCCTATTGATGCTTGGTGACATTTGCAGATGGTACTAAACTTAGTAGAAAACACACATCCATTGTAGAGGTAAAATATTGTTCTTATTTAAAGTGGCCTAAGTTAATAAAGAGTAATATCCAGTGAGAGAAAAATCACAAAAATGGATTTATGGAGGTTTTCTCCAAGTTGTCATAAATTACAGTGAAAAAAATCATCCAGTTCATCATACATCTTAAGGCATGGATAAAAGAAAACAAAGGGAGAGCAGTAAAATATAAAGTAGGCTCTCATGTCTCCCTTGCTATTGCTCCTGCCTCTCTGAGCCTCAGCCTACAACTTCCAGCCTTTATCCACTTTCTTGTGTAAAGCAAATTTCCATTGTTGTCAGTGATTTTGTACACACTGGGCTATGATCAAGACCTTGTTCCCATATTTGTCCTCTTTCAAGTCTGCAAGTATTCTTTGAATGCTTACTTGGTGCTAGATGCTACTAGGTGTCAGAGACACAAAAATGACTAAGATATGATTCCTAGTCCCAGAAATTTGACAGTTTAAGAGGAGTGTTAGCCAGGTAAGGTGGCACATACCTGTATTACCAGCAACTCCAGCGGGTGAGGCAGGGGCCAACATGGTCAATATAGTTAAAATTTGTCTTTTAATAAATGAATAAATAAATGTTAGTTGGTAAAGTCATTGCAATATGGCAGGTGGTAGGCTAGAGAGATACTTTGTAGTAGGTTAAGCATCAAACATAGCCAAAGATTTAGGAGAGTATACCAAGACAAATAATGCCCTTTGCAATTTTGCACAAAAGCGACACTTCTGTAAATGAAGGATCCCATCTCTAGATGGTGACTGATAACATTGCAAAATGTTAAATTTATCATATCATTGGCTCTACTCTATATTAGTCCTCCACTGGATCTGGAAATCTCTGCATCTTATCTAATAGTATTGGAATTATTCTCACTTTGCTCAGTAGCCTTACACCCCATATTATCTATCCATGTCATTTTGAAGAGGCCAGTTTGTCATCATTTACAACTGTACTCAGAGGCTTATTGACATCTTCCATTGTATTATGAAATACCCTTTATAGAAAAAATGCATCAACTTTAAATGTTACTGCTGGAGAATATGACTTGAGCCAGACAGAGCCAGGAGAGCAAACACTCGCCACTGAAACCATCATCATACATCCACAGTTCTCCATTAAGAAACCAATGGACTATGATATCGCCCTTTTGAAGATGGCAGGAAGCTTCCAATTTGGTAATAAACATTTGAGGTGCACCCTAAATTGTCTACCCTATATTTCCATAACCTTTTTCCCATAGTACATTTCCTGCAGTTCATGTTATGTAGCCTATGCGCAGATAGTTTGGATCAGGTATTTGATAAAGGGATTTAGGCTGGTGGCTCCTCCCTACCTGAAACTCCATTTGCTTGTGATTCTGGATGTTGAATTATGTGAAATCAGGAAAGGGGACCCTGGCTGACTTCTGGAGGTCCCAAGAAGAGATATTACAACACTTAAAAGGTCTTTTGGACCTTTAGATACTAACTACCACCTAGATGCTAACTGATGAGTGGCTCATTGTGGCCTCTCCTCCATGGATGAGACAAGCGCTGCCTTCATCTTTCTTCAGGCCAGTTTGTGGGGCCCATGTGTCTTCCAGAGCCAGGGGAGCAATTTGAGGCTGGATTTATTTGTACAACTACAGGCTGGGGCCGCTTGCAAGAAGGTAAGAATCCTGTGTCACTCCAAATCAGAGATCAGAACGTTCTAAAGAGTAATCAGAAAATAGAATTTTTAATTTTTTAAAAGAATTGTACAAATATTTTGAAAGAGAATGTCACATTGCACTTAGAAATTTAGGTCTTTCCAAAAAGACACAAACCTGAACCCAACTGATGATGAATAATGGGGCATTGTCAACTCAGGAAGGGTGAACTGAGGGCCTTGCTGGGCACCATCCCTGTGTTCCAGGTGGCAGCCTCCCACAAGTCTTGCAAGAAGTTGATTTGCCTATCTTGACCCAGGAAGAGTGTGTGGCAGCTCTGTTGACCCTAAAGAAGCCTTTTAATGGGAAGACCTTTCTCTGTACAGGCTCCCCTGATGGAGGGAGAGATGCTTGTCAGGTAAGTGGGAACAGGAGGGCTGACAGGTTTGCTAATAGATAAGGGTCTTAAGGAAGGTTTATCTGGAAGGCTGATTCCAGATTAAAGTAGAATCTGAAAAGAAGAGTCAGAAGTAAATAGGGAAAGTCAAGTTAAAATAAAAGGACAGTTTTAACCATCAGTTTTGAGCAGGAGTAAGAATTCATAGGTGGTCTTCTGCTTTTCCCAAAAGGACCAAATAGTAGAGATAGTGTCCCAAAGGAGGCACTCAGGGTTCTCCATCCCTAATGGATGTCTGGCTCTTTCCTACTTAGAGGTTTCTAGTTTGCAGAGATTGGGAACTTTACTTTTCCTCCATTCTCTCTGTTGACCAAGACCTGAGGTCAGTTTTATCACTGAAAAAGTCAACCCTGATTCTGTAGCATGAGACAGGAGAAGGAAAAAATTCTGTGGCTTTAACAAAAGTCTAGCATAGGGGAGAAAGAGCTGTAATTAATGAACTCCAATAATATTCAAGGAGCTCATGGGAATTGTGCTTGGCTGTTCTCCCAGGCACCTGAATTTAAATTATTAGAAGTGAGAATATATCATTATCCTCACCTAGCATCCTTGTGGGGAAAGAGTGAGTACTTTGCAGCCTAGACACTGACAATGATGGTAACAGAGGATTCTTCCTTTTGCAGGGCGATTCAGGAGGTTCACTTATGTGCCGCAATAAGAAAGGGGCCTGGACTCTGGCTGGTGTCACTTCCTGGGGTTTGGGCTGTGGTCGAGGCTGGAGAAACAATGGGCAGAAAAATAAGCAAGGGTCTCCTGGAATCTTCACAGATCTTAGTAAAGTGCTTCCTTGGATCAATGAACACATCCAAACTGGTAATGAAGCCATTCTACAAGGTTAAGAGGCTGCCATTCTGTTGGGGCAGAAAGCACATTAGCAGTCTAGGCAAATCAGGTCCATGGAGCAGAAATGTCCACTTCTGTTCTCAGTATAGCACATAAGAATTGTAAGATTTACTGTCTAAAGCAAGAGCAAACAATGATATGTGGTACAGTATGCAATTATTCAATGGAAATGAATCCATCTATTGCAGTATGTGTCAGTTTGGTTTTTAATCACAGCTATGTTTACCTGATGATATTGTTTCACCATCTATTTCTCAACTCTTCTAGCAAGAATCTGTAAGATAGTATAGATCAATACTTACCAATCAGGGACAATTTTGCCTCCCCTTGGAGTGATATTGTCAGACATATTTGTTCAGACACAATTTGAGAGGGGGCATAGGCACTTAATGGATAGGGACGATGGATGCAGCTAAGCCCCCTGCAATGCACAGGATAGAGCCCCATGATGAAGAATAACTTTGCCTCCAAATGTTAAAAAAGTACAATTGAGAAATGCTGGCATAGGGTATAAGTTTGAAAAGGTCAGGGTCTATATGTTGCCTTCTATTAGACTGACCAGGGAGTAAATTGTAACTTCATCTCTACTTCCAAATCCAACTTAATTGTTTTCTTATCTGATGTCTTCCAGTTTAAAAAGGGTTTCCATCCTTTCCCAAAGGGGTTAATTCAAATTAGTTCAGTTAGAACTTGAGTATTTTTTCTCAAGTGTATGGAACAGTGGCAGGTTATCTGAGCCCTCAGCTCAGTTTAGCTATCCCCAAAACTCTTTTGTGGCAAGTTATTTCCATCTGAAGCCTCAATTCTTATGTAAAATGAACTCTTATTGATCTGGTGTAATCTCCAAGATAATCACTTTCTGCTTCTTAATTAGGCTGTTCAATAAAGCAAGTAAAATCATCTTAAAACACCAGGACCCCTTTCCTACTTTGTCAATTTATCCCTTCTGTTCTTTTCATGCATTAAATTTTTCCTTAGTTGCTATTGAATTAAAATTTTCTGTAATTTTTGTCAATATCTTGAAATATTATTCAGAATACCACAAGCTTTGAATTGCATCTTTTTTTTTCTTTCCCAGGATATCAGAGAAAGAGCTCCAGAGGTGGGTATTGCTTATAGTCTACTCCAGCACCAGGAGCATGAATTAATACCTAACATTTCTGAATATCAGCTCCCTTTATAATCAAAAGACTTCCTCCACAAGAATTTCCATGCTCATTAGGCATAAAACACAAACAGATATTCTCTGCTGGTCTGGCAATCCCATGGCCACAACAGCCCCACAATCCCATTCATTTCCCTTAATTGTCAATTCATACCTGCATCTATTTTTTTATGATTTTTTTTATTATTGTTGTACTGGGGCTACATTGTGACATTTATAAACGTTCTTACAATATCGAATTGTCTCAAGAGGTTAAGAGTGCCTGCCTAGCAAGCATGAGGCCCTGAGTTCAAAACCCAGTACCACCAACAACAAAAAAAAAAGATTTAAAGATATCAAACTAGACATAATTTAAATAGCAAGAACCACAGATCGATGTAGAGTCATACCTACATCTGATTCAGCAAACATTTGACAAGCCCTAAACTTTGAATCAAATACTTGAGAGAAAAGGGAAAGTAGTGCAGATATGGTCAAAAAGCTATCACCTGCCCCGAAGGTGTCCCTTCTTACACAGGGGACTCATCCTTGTTTTACATTGCAACTCTGCAATGAATTCACTCTTTAAGTTGGGGCAAGGTCTTTCCCATCTCTGGACCTCAGCTACCTCATCCATAAAGAAAAGAGAATGGACCAGATGGTCTCTAAGGTCTCCTTAGCTCAATAATTCAATGATTTTTTTGAGCCTGTAGAACTGTCTACAAAAAGCAACATGGAAAAATAGCACCCCCAGAGCTTAGAGAAATGAGAGGCTGCTTCTATCTGAAAATAGTCAATTAAATAAATAAGTAGAGACTTTGGGGCATAGATATCTTTTAAAATATCTTCATCAATCTTCTGGATGGATGAAGAAGTTTTCAGGTTGGAAAGATAACTTGAGCTCAAATTATGGAAACCTCAAATTTCAGTTAAAATTTTGGACTTTATTAAATAATGGGAAGTTGAGCAGTTAGATAAGTAGAGTGGAGCTATACTTTAATTATATAAGAACAGCATATAGGAGATGGACTAAGGGGAGAATAATTCAAGGTAAACTCATGCATCAATTTAAGAGAGAAGAAATGAAAGATTGAACAAAGGCAATGACCACAGAATGAAAAGAAGGAAATGGAAAGGAGAAAATTTAGAACTTTGATGATAAATAGTGAAGGAGTGAGGACACATAAAAGTAATAAAATCAGAATTGAACTCAGCTTGATGACTTACAGAACTCCATTTGTAATGATGAGCTTCAGGGGAGATAGCTAGGAGACCATTGTAAAATTGATATGATGTGCAGAAAAAGTAGAAATAAGAGTTGAAATTGCCCCTGGGCAGAACTCTTGCTTTCCTAGACATGAAAGTGACTTTTACCTGCATCATTAGGCTAAGAAGAAAGACACCAATAGTTAGCCATAAGGAGATAAATGTTATTTATATAAGAAACAGAAATAAAAGTGAGTTTGGTGGCATATGCCTATAATCCTAGCATTCAGGAGGCTAAGACAGGAGGATTGGGAATCAAGGCAAGCCTGTGCTACATAGTGAAACCGTCTCAAAACAAACTAACAGACAAAAACAACAAAATCAGAAGAGTGAGAATGAGGGCATGATTGAGATTGCTCAGAGCTCATGACCTCATGACCCAGCAAAGGGCTCCTCTGTAAGAGAGAGAATTAGAGATAGAACGTAGTAATGAAGCTATGGGACCAGAAAAGGCAGAGTAAGAAGGGAAAAAATAAAAATCTCAATGTTAAGCAGTATCTAAAAGGAACAAAAAAGAATAAGGCTTCACAGAAGTCAAGGCAAGAAAAGGTGCCATGGACAACAGAAGAGTACGTAAAGAAGAACCAGAGTCTCTGCTGTTCTCACTCCAGAAGGGAGGTTCTTATGGCCTGCCATCACTACCAGCCCTGACTGCGTGACTTTTTCTCCCAGCCCTATGTGGCATGCAAGATGGCCTAGTCCCTGGGTCTGAGGGGGAGCTGTATTTCCTAGAAAGCCTCTACAAGTATTATGAGAACAAGCAGTAAGTAGACCCCTTTGCCACCCTCCACCAGATTCCCACTTAACAACTCTGCCCACTAACAGCAGAGTTGGGCATAAGTGGCCTATGATAGTCACTTTCTGTCTAGAACTAACACCCTCTTCATGTATCTGCCTGCAGACTGTGTATCTGGACCTTGTTGGTTCCAGAGGAAAGGCATGTGTTGCTCAGTTTTTCCCACTTGGATGTAGAATCTTGTCACCACAATTACCTGGCATGTACTCTTTAGAAGACAGGCTCCTTGATGAGTGGATTTTCACACTGTCAAATGGGAAGCAGTGCTCAGTGCGCTTAATGAGGCCTGGTTTACAATATGTCTGGCATTGAGCCATGTGTAAATGCCACACTGCCTGTCTCCAATTTTGAGACTCAGATCTGGAGTGGGGAAGAGCTATATTTGAGCTTGCAGATGACTGCAAGGCCAACATCATTTTACCTGCTACATCTGCTTCCCATCAAACCAGTCTTCCTAGACCTGGACCCCATTAGTGGTAAAAGCTACCCATAATGCTGGGCCCTCAAGGCCCTCCAGGTAGAACACTGCTTTCCTAGGCATTAAAATGGCCTTTACCACCTTCATGAAGCTAAGGAGAAAGATGTCAATAGATAACCATGGGGAGGAGACAAAGGTGACTTATATTTGACATAGAAATGGAGTAACATTCCTGTGTTTCTCAGTTGGGGGTGATTTCATGCCCCCAGGAAACATCTGACAATATCTGGGAAACATTTCTTGGACATCACAACCAGAGGTAATATTACTGGAATCCTGTTAGGCTGTCACAACCAGAGGGGTGATTACTGGTGGAGGCCAGGCTGCTACACAAAGCACACGACGCCAACAGGTGCTGACACGAAAACATCCAGTATTAAAATATAATAGCAACTTCAGGTTTCCTTAAGTCATTTAATGAGTGCTGTTTTCTAGATCTGAGCAAAGAATATTCTCATATTGCAGGAAAATTCTGTGAAGAAAGCCATGCTTCATCCATTCTCATTGGCTCCAATTCTATAAGGCTGAAGTTCATCTCCAACGCCACAGATTATGCTGCTGGGTTTAATCTCATCTATAAAGCTCTTAAACCAAACTACCTCCCTGGTAAAATCATTTACTTTTATTGCATACTATCCAGTTTTGGCATCATAGGAGTCAGGTAAGGGGTAATCCCCAGCACTGGCTGGCTCCATCATGGAGCGGACCATACAGCCAGCTCGAGAACAGTATGTAGTCTCTCTTTCTACAGCCCTAAAAACTCATATTTATCTCCTGCACAAGTGAACTGAAAAGTTCTGTAAAACCAGTGCCTTCTTCTTGGCTGTGTATAGATTCAGTTCATGTCTCACGTTGCTGGAGACAGGGAGGAGAAGGATGAGAATGCCTCTTTCTTGGAGAATTCCATTTGTTTAAAATTTCTTTGTGTGTTTCAGATTCAGTTTGAAATTCCTTAACTGTCCTTTTTTAAGAAGGCATCATACAAAGTCCTCACTATCCTAAAAACTACAGTAACATGGCTAACTGTAACTGGACTTTTCAAACAACCAGCCATTACCTAATTAAGGTATTGATTTTGGTTATCCATAGGATAGCCAGAGTAGCTTACAGAAGTTCTATGGAAACAGAGGATTTTTCCTGATTTGTTCACAACTGTATTTTTAATATCCAATACCTACCACACAATAAATCAGGAGCTCAATAAATATTTTAAGAATGGACAAGCCTGAGACTTCCCACTTTTACCACTAGATGGCACTCACGCTCTTAATTTTTGTTAAAAACGGAACCAAGCAAAACCCCAGAACAGTGTTGCCCGAGTCTTTGTACCTAGTGACTTCCATCAGCCTTTAGACCCTTCTAGAAACAAACATTTCTTCCTTATAAATTCAACTGCTAACAAAGCACTCTGTAAGCAGTGACTAATAAAAGTCACTGACAATCAGGGCAATATCACTATAATCCTTCCGAGCAGAAGAGACAGAGCAAAGAGGAAGCAATGCAGAACAGGTACCAAGCTGTAAAGCACACTTGGAGGAGGTATTTGAAGGTCAGACTAAAGACACAGTACAGAGGGTATAGGGATTATTTCACATTGATGTTAATGGCCATTTGTTGGGGTTTTCCCACTAACCACTTGAAGACCTTCTGTGGAGAAATGTCCATAGGCAGTTGAAGGTTAGACTACAGTCAAGATGAGATTGCAGAAAGCCATTTAAGTTTTTCTATTAAAATAATAATTGAAAGCAAGAAATATGAAGGACCTAAAGGAGAGGAAGAAAAAAAGGGGGGAGGGAGTAGAGGAAGACAGGACCCCAGAGTTCTCATACACAGTAATGACAGGAGAAGTTCTGAGAAATGCAAGTTCATTGGGTAATTTTCATCTTGTGTGAACATCATAGTGTATTTATGCAAACTAAGAGTGCTACATGGTCACTAGGCAATGCAATCTTGCAGGACCACAGTTATCTATATGGCCTGTTGTTAATCAAAACATTGTCATGTTGTATATGACTGTATTTGAAGGTGAAAGTGATCTGAGATGCAGGGGGAAAAGCAAATTGGTGCAATTTTATGACAGTTCAGAGAATGGAGCCTTAAAACACAAAACAAAACAAAAGTATGTGACCAATTGTTTGGGTTTATCACACAGAGTTAGGTTTAAAGAGAATGAGAATTGAGAACAAACTGTCCAACACCCACCCCACACCTCAACAACAAGGCAGAATAATTGGACTGGACAATCGAACATTTGAGAGCAGTTGGGAATGTTGGTGTGTGAAATATCAAGCCTAGGTGGAAATTAGGAGCAAAAATGAGATTACATATGTTTTGTGAATGAGTGGGTGAAGATGATTCAGAGGAGATAAGAGTAAACCTTCTTGAGCTGGCATTGCAGCTCAAGTGGTAGAAGCCAGCATAAGGAGGTCCTGAGTTCAAGCCCTAGTACCATCAAAAAAAAAAAAATTTTCTGAAACCCAATAGAGTGAAATTTCAGTGGAATTTAGGTATGAGCATATTTTTAGGAGGAGAAAAAAGCCTTTGATACCGCATCTTTTTCTAAGGGACTTTATCCACTCCTGAGTATCTCAGTAATTTTCTCAACTCAGGTCTTACTCCAGAGCAAGTTAAACAATCCAGATTTCTCTGCTAAATCAAACTCAGGCCCTTTATTCATGTTGTTTACTGTGAGTATAACAGAGTGATTTTGGCTTTCATTTCAGAGTTGGGAGATAGAAGAAAGTGGAAACTGCACTTCTGACTATGTGACAGAGCACAGTGATATAGAAAGGAAGAAGGAAATAGGTTTGCATTGCCCCTGAGCCTCAGCAGCCCCTGGCTCACATTTGGACTGAGTCTCAGATGGGAATATAAAGGATATGTCTCAATTTTCCTTCATTCTCCTGCACCACTGCTATCCCTCCCTATGGTCTCACCACCACTCTTACATTTGGAGCATGAAGAAAGAGAAGAAGGATCAAAGAACCATTAGAACAGAAAATGTGAAAGGCCCACAACGAAGTAGAGTTAAATGGGGGAGGGGGAATTTCAATGAAAGAAGTTTTGTGGCTAAAATCAATCCCTTAGTAATTTCAGTGGGAGTGTTTGCCAGACGAGACAGAATTGAAATGTTGATGGGGTTAAATATATATTTGAAAGAAGCAAACCACCTTTCAATTTTGAAAAGAATTGCGATATTCATCAACAAAGCTTATTTCTCAACAATTACCAAAAGGATACATTTTTTTTTCTTCTATCCTATGCCATGTCTCTTTGAGCCCTTTACAATATCTGGCTCGACCTGGGCTTCACGCAGCTTGGTTGTGTGGCTACACAGTACCCATTACTGTGCTGAGCTCCTCCAGGGTCATGCTCACCAGCTTCCAATCAGATGAAAACAGGACCTTCAGGGGTTTCCAGGCTACTATCTCCTTCATTCCTAGAGCAGGTAAGACAAGAGTGTCACCAACTCTTTGGTTCCCAATTCTAATCCTCATCCCATGATAGTAAAGGGCAGCCTTTAGAACCCGGCATTGATAGCCTTGTAATTATCACCCATAATGTCACCATGAACACTGAATAAATAGATACTGAACTGTTGTTCCTAGGAATATGTAGGAATAGGTTCCTACAAAACCCTGATACAGTTTCATCAATTGATCAATACATGATTTTGTCTTATGTGTGTTTTTGTTTAAAAATCCCTTATCTAGTATATATTATTGATTCATTAACACTAAATTCACAGTGAACAGCACTATAACTCATGTCTGAACAAAGCTTACCTGACACATGTATTTTCTTTAGTTTTCATGTTTTATTTTCTGGTTTTTTGAGATAGGGCTCACTTTATAGCCCAAGTTGGCCTGGAACGCTCTGCATAGCCTAAGACTGACCCAAACTCGCATTCCTGCTGCCTCCGCCTTCTGAGTACGGGATTGTAGGCTCACATCACCACAGCCTGGCCCGTGTACTTTCCAAGTAATGTACATTCCAGCCTTCTTACACTTATGGTCACTAGAGGGCATTATAACACTATGACTTGGGAGCCATATTAAACAGCTAAATCTCCAATAAAAGCACAAAACTGGAAGATTTTTTTTTATCACCCTAAAGCAAACACAGTATTTTACAAGGAGTTTCATTACAATACTCAGCAAGACATTCATCATTTTATTCCCAGCAGCTACTGCAATATCCTGAACAATGCAGGCATGAAATAAATACTTGGTGAATAAAATCAAATCATCCAGGCCAGGTACATTGTCCCATGCCTGTATTTCCACCTACTGAGGAGGTAGAGATCTATTGGATATGGTTTGAAGCTACCCTAGACAAAAAGTCATGAAGATCCCACTTCAGAAACAACTCAGGTGTGGTTGTTCAAGCCTGTAATACCAGCTACTTAGGAGAGATAGGTAGGAGGATTGTGGTCTGAGGTTAGACACAGGCAAAAACAAAACAAAACAAAAACACATGAAACCCAATCTGAAAAATAACTAAAACAAAAAAGGACTGGGAACATGGCTCAGGTGATAGAGTACCTGCCTAGCAAGTGTGAGAGACTGAATTCAAACCCCAGTACTTCTAAAAAAAAAAAAAAGGTAACCACAATTTACTTATTGAAGTTTTACTTCAATAAGACACTTTCCTTATTTTCTTTCACTGAACACATACCATCTTTATATGCTTCTTTCTTTCCACAAGTACCATAAAACACAGTAAGGATAATAAAAAGCATTTACTTTTGCCCTATTTTAAATAGGACACCTGAGACAGGTAGAGACCACCACAAGAGGACAAAGACAAACTCTGGCTCTTAACCTATCATCCATTAAAAGTATGCTTACAGCAAGGCATGGTGACACATGCTTGTAATCCCATAATTTAGGAGCCATAGGTAGGAGAATCAAATTCCAGGCCAGCCTGGGCTACAGAGCAAGACCCTGTCTCAAAAACAAAAAGCATGCTTTCAACAGCTTTGTCATAAAACACCAGATTAGGCCACAGGCCAGAATGCTTACAGAGTAGGTATTTCTTATGACTAGGCCAAGCTAAAACTGGTGAGGCTCAAGATAGCCACACAAAAAATAAAGACAAAGGGGAAATTGTTACTGAAAAAAATCTTGGTTTCATAAAATGCTTGGTAGACTCCCAGAATCAACCCAGATGTCAAACAGTCTGTTGAAGCAAAATTACAGTCCCTTTTTAATAAATTTCTCTTTCTCTTTGTGTTACTGAAAAACCTCAATAAATCTTCTAGTTTCACATGTTCTTAATTCACTTAAAAATCATTAATTTTGGAGGCCACACAGCTGAGCAATATATTATTAGTCTACCACTAGCTTTGCTGCAAATACCTCTGGTGTGTAGGTTATGAGCAGTTACCCAGGTTACTTTTCAAAAACTTGAAGGCCATTTTTGCTAAAAAATACAGACTCTTCAATGGATCTTACCAATATTTGGTGAGTGACTAAAATGGGATAAAAGGCTTGGCATCTCTGAGTTCATATTGTGTCTGTACCCTTTGCTGTCTTCATTCTTCTACTCAGCTCTTCATGTAGATTTGTTACTCACTTCAAAATGTTTTGTCAAAGACTATTGCTCATTGGAGTTCGTGTGGTGTTTTTCCTACCCCAGCCTCATGCTGTCTTGGCAGCTCAAGTACCTACAGCCTCTCGGCCTTATCATAAGATTAAACAATGAGGCCAGGATGTTTGTGCAAAATGGTGATGCCAGCTGTAAGTATAACTCAGTGGTTCCTGAGCAAGGTTACCACCCATTAGCCCACCAAATATAAGACCAGGATGTTTGCACACAAGGACATCTTTTTAATCATGTCCATATCTAATGGAAAGTCACCAGATTAGTCTACTACAAGGTATCCATAAAAACCTTCTGCTCCCTTTGTTAAACAGGCAGCTCTGTCACCTCTTTGATCAGTATTCTCTCCTTTCTGTTCAAGAGCTGAAGTTCCAACAACGGAACCCCACCTGTTTTGTTCATAATATATAGCTTGGTCTTATTTCTACCATTTCCATGCCTGCCATAAGATCCCCCTGTTGGGTACCATACTTACTGAGATTACCTTTTAATGGGTAGAAGATGGATGTAAGATATATTATAGATATTGTTTGGAGACTGGGTAGAGCTAAACACAAAGGGGAGTGACTGAGCTTGACATTTTACTCCTGGGTGCAATGCCCACTTCTCTAGTTTATATATTTTTCTCTCTCTAGAATGCAAGTATTTCTCATATTTCTCAGGTGTCTGTTTGTTAGACTTTTCATCACTGTGACAAAATACCTGACAGAAACAACTTAAAGAAGGAAGGATTTATTTTGCTCACAGTTTTAAAGGTTTTAGCTCATTGTGTTTGGGAGGGCATGGTAATCAAGAGAGAGAGAGAGAATTGATTGAGAGATGCCTGCTGCACTCGTGGGCTTCTTACTTCCATCCAGGCCCTCAGTCTATGGAATGGCGCTGTCCATTTTTCCCCCTTAGTTAATCCTCTCTGGAAATACCCTTACAAACACCCAAAAGATGTGCTTTACTAATCTCCTGGGCAATTCTCAATCCAATCAAGTTGAGAATCAAGATTAATCATCATACTATTAGAGTGCTCTGCCCAAAGAAGATTCCTTGAGATTGCTATCTGGGTTTGATGGTAAGAAGAATCTGTTGGTAATAAAGATGTGTCTCCTTGTCCCCAATACATGTGGCCTCTACAGAGTCACTCCCTGCTCCCTACAGGGAAGGCAAGGAGGCCCATCCAGCTCCTGGCCATGGCACGCCACTCTACAGATTGCCACTTAGCATCTCTGTGGAGGAATAATCATTTGACACATCTGGGTGATGACCACTGCTCATTGTTTTGTCAGGAAGTACACCTGAGGAATGGACGGTGGAGGGGGCTAATGGTTTAAACTGGCTGTTCATCCTTCCCCATCACTTCCGATAACCATCAGGGTCTGCTGTGAGTTACCACTGGTTCCCCCATCCATCATGACCAGGGTAATCCACGAGTTCCCTGAGTGTTCCAGAGAGATCTGTCACATCACTTTGTGCTTCTAGTATATTCTAATTAGGCATGAACTAGGCTGATGGATAGAAATATATTTATTTTATATCTTTTTTCCTAGGATTTTTAAAATCAGAAGTTTAAATTTTGTGAAATATTTTTAATCATCTATTGAAATGATTAAATAATGTACTGACATATTAAATCCTAATAGATTTCCTAGTATTCCTTTACTCTTAAAATGAATTCCACTAGGCCATGGCCCATTATCTTTCAATAAACTTCTGGGTTCTCTTTACTAATATCTACCTTAGATGTTTGCATTACCATTCTGCAAGGTCAAAACTATTTTCCTACTAGTACTAAGGTATTCGTATTATTCGCCCTTTTTATTCTCATAATCACCACAGTGTACACTGGAATTTTCCAAAGTCTATGTAACATATCCTATATCACCAGATTGAATATAATAAGCAGATAGGAAAATCCATCTGTGTTTGTTTTAGCCAGACATTGAAGAGTTGTGCAACAATGTAAAACAATGTTAATCTTGTTACCAGAAATTCAGTTGCCTAAGCTCAATGCCAAATTCACAAATAATGAGAGCAGGGTTTTGAGGAAAAGGAAATAAGGCTTATTAATTTTGATAGGCAAAATGAGGACTGCATGAGCTATTGCCTTATAACCACAGTCCTGTCCCCAAGTGAGGATGATGGGTTTATAAGGGGAGCCCAGGAGCTCAGTTTAGGGGTACATGATGGAGTACGTGTTCTAGGCCAGGTGTTGGCCTTAGTTCTTATCACCCAGTTTACTGGGACCACATCCCTGAACTCGTATGTCTTGACAAAGATTTACTCCTTCCCAGTGGTCAGAGAGAAATAAGGGAGGAGGGAAAAGATTGCTTGAGCCTGATGGAAAAAAGTGGTGGTAATCTTCCCAATATAGAAAGAGGATAAGAGAAGAGGGAATAGGAAAGACCTAGAGAGGAAAAGAAAGGAGAGGAAAGAAGAAGAGGGGAGGGGAGGAGAGGAGAGAAAAAAGTGTCAGTTTAAATCTCTGAAAAACAAAACACAGCAAAACTAAACAGCAACACAAGCTGGCTATAACCAAAAGTTTCTCTTTTTGTAGTCCCAGTTATATTTTCCCCACTATAAATTTGTTCCTTCCATGTCTGGAAAAGCTGTGTTTTCTAGCTTTTCTAGCTTTTTGTGTTCATATAGCTGCTTCCTGATGAAGTCTGGGGCTCTGTCTGGTGAAAGGCACTTCCTGTTTTGGTCTAATTAAAATTTTTGGTATGGAAATGTTATTTTGCATACACAAGTTACTTACTATATTTATCCAAATAAATTGGTGAGTAAATTGTTACATTTCTGCTTTAATCTCTAATTTCATAAGTATAGTTCACAGAAACAAGAGCTCTTTAGGACTGTCAGTAAGTTTTCAAAGTGTAAAGATATCCTGAGACCAAAATGTTTGAAAATTGCTGCTGTAGTTTGCTTCCTGCCTTCTGCATTTGTCAGACTTTGGTGTCAGTGTTTCCATGAAAAGATTTCAACATTGTTCTGTGCTTTACATACTATTTACAACATGAGAATAATAAATAATCTATTATATTATTGATATATATGAGAATAATATATAAATAATAACAAATAATGACAACATACAATTATGTAGACTAAACATGTATTCCTTAATGGCTTGAATGTAACTTTCTCAGTTACTGATTTTTAGTTTCAAATTTTTCTTCTTCAGACAATTTGGGTAATTTATCATCTCCTGATCATAGTTACGCCATTCACACTTTCCTACTTTTTGTCTTGAGTTGTATGAAACATTCCCTGATAATTAATCCCTTCTATTTTGGAGATATTTTCTACTTTATGTTCCCAACTTTGTCTATTTTTTTAAATCTTTTTTTTAGATTAGACCAACTAGTGTTTGGGGAATTTTATAGAGAGAATTTTTTCCTTAGAAAATTAAAAAAAAAAAAACAAAAAACAACGTATGATCCTATTTCCTCTTACTGTGCCCTATTTAGTAATTTTAGTTGATCTGGACCTGCAGTCCTGAACAGGGGTGGGGATATTTCCTACAGATGACTGAAGGCTCAGCTATGATGCATACTGGCCTTAGAAGGGAGGCCTCAAGGCTTGTTTATGCTCCCATTAAGCTCTGAACTCTATGTGTGATGTCAGACAGATTGCTTCATGTTTTTGACTCTTAGTACCTCCTATATGCATTGATATGGTTTGAATGTCCCCTTCAAAGCTCATTTTAAATTTTAATTGCTTTCTCAAAGTGTTGAGAGGTAAGACCGTTAAGAGACGTTCAGATCCCGAGGGCTTTCCAAACATTAATGGGTTGATGTTATTATTGCATAAGTAGTTTAATGGTAAATTGTGATGTGTTCTGGCTCCCTTCTGCTGTCCTGCTCTCTCTATTGCTTTTTCTGTCTTGTGTATGTTTGCTGGCCCTTATGCCATGTTATGATGCAGCATGAAGCCTTCCCCAGCTTCCAGAACCACAAGCCAAATAAATTTCTGTTGTTTGTAAATTAACAATCTGTGGTATCTTTTATAGCAGTACAAAACAGACCGAGACACATATACAGGATGTGCATTGCCTAGATCCTTGCTGGGTTACTGGAAGTGATACACAGGAATTTTCAGGTGGTAAGGGTCCTTATTCCACTGTTAGATGGAAATCAAAGGCAGATTCGAGCAGCAAAGGTCAGAGAAGTTTTATTTGCAGAGAAGAGAAAGGAAAGGCTGTGTGAGGTCATGCAGCAGAACCCAGAAACTGGTGGTCCCCTGGGCCAGATTGGAAATTGAGTTTTGCAGCTTTTATTATTGCCCAAGGGCAGAGATCTTGGCAGGGCAGATGTTGAAGGAGAAGTGTCTCCTTGGTGTGAACAGATTTTCTTGGGAATGAAAAGAGAAGTTTTTCCCCCTGGCTAATTGACACCTTTTGGTAATACATGGACTTCCTGCAGTCTGCCCTTCTAGTCCCCCCAGCCCCACCCCCTCCGCAATGATCACCCTGCTATTAGGAATAGGGATGATTAAAGCCTATTCAGTGACTGATTCCTGCTGACAGGAGGCAACGAAGGGGTCTGCAGTATCAGAACTGACCATGAGAGGGGTTATCGAAGGGACCACAAGAGTAGGTCGTTTTCATCTCCATCAGGGGCATCTGCAGTTTGATAGATTCTAGGCAAGAAGAAACAAACTTTTCAAGTAAGTTTAAAATGCAAAGTTCAAACACAAGTAAGAGAATAATGGCAACAATAGGCTCCAGAAAGGGTAGGAACCATGTCCTGGAGGGGAGCCAGGATTTTATTTGGTCCCATACCTGTGTGGACATCTGAATTTTGAGGCACTATTCTCGGAGCCACTTAGCCTGTTGGAGAATGTAGTCTGCACGTTTCTCTACAATGCCTCAAGTGTTTATATATGTGCAACAGGAAGTATTGGTGATGGCACATACCCTTCCTTGTTTAGCCAAGAGAATCTAGAGCTAGGCGGTAGTCCATGACCATATAGACAAGGGACAAAAAAGATCTTTGCATGTCCTTAATGTCAAGGCCTACCTAGTTTGAGGTGTCCTCTACTACTTTGGTTAGGTATTTTGCAGTTACATGATTGGCAACCACCCCATAGCTTATTCCAGCTAGGGCTGCAATCAATGCTGTTATCCCTAAAACTATTAGAGTAATCTCCCTTTTATCCCTATGGGAAGTTGTTCCTGTTCGTTGGGAAAAATTCAGTTTGTTGTATTGTAGTATTTTTCTAAAAAGAGGTATGTTCAGGATTAGGTGTAAGTTGGGCAATTGCCCAATTTCCTCCAGTATGGTTTGCGTGTAGACATGGCAGCCCCCATACCTGGTTCTTTTTCCATGACCTTCCTACAAAGAGATATCCTTCCTCAAGGCATAAAATACCTTGGGTGTTTTTAGTCTGGGCCTGAGAGGTGTCTCCTAGAAACAGGTAGTTGGGGACATTAAGTCTTCTGGTAAAAAATGGAAGCACAAGGGGTAGCAAGGTAGAGTTATACAGTTTTTTAACCTCTTGTATATTTTGTTAAGATACATTTGTGATGGCCAGTAGTAAGTATGCAATAAGAGTCTTTACCAGTGAGGTTTGAGGACTTGGTCAGATTGGAGCCGAGGCTCCCTTTATAAGCACTAGCCCTAAGCACACTGGGACCTATAAAAAACGGAGCCCTTAGAGTTGTTTATACAGCACCAGCTGGCTGTCAGATGATAGTCACCTTTAAGGGTGGTGAAGTCAATGTAGGCCCTAGGCCCTCTATTGATGAATGACAAACTGGTGTATAGCTCTCCGAGACAGAAACATTAATTAGTCAAACCTTTTATCTGAGAGATGAACCCAAGCCAAGTGTAAGACATAGTAGGCTGGTTCTTCCATGGAATCCCAGTAAGAGGAACCATGGCATAGGAGAAGTTATCTGGCCTGAATATCAAACAAGGGAAAGGACTTGAGTAAAATTTAATAAGGCCCATGCTGGCAGGTGAGCAGCTGTCAGTCTCTCATAGCAAACCTAAGAGTACTTTAGTGGGGATTTTGGAAGGGCAAATGCTCAAGAGAGGTTTAAAAATTTGTTGGTCTTTCATGAAAGGCTGTAACTCTTCCCATATAGGGGCACTAGCATACCCAGAAGACCAAGCCCCGTAGCAATGTAGTTAGCAACGAAAAGGAACATGCTAATGTTGCCTTTTGTGTTCTGGTCCAATTAGAAGGAGCTGTAGTGGCTAGTCCTGTTCCCAAAGTAATTGCAAACAGAATGTATAGACTGATTAGGAGGTATTGGAGGTTTGGATCAAGAAAGCTCATGGAGGTGACTTATCTGTATCTGTAGGCATTTTCCTTTTGAACAGCAGTTTTAATCCATCCAAAGGTTCACATGAGAGTGAGGCA